TTATTTGTTTGATTCTTGGACTGATAAACTTTAATAATAAGCTTTAATTTTTTGTTCATTTGTTCTTACATCAGTGTTTTTTTTCTGGACATAACTACTACATTCATTCCCAAGATAACACAACAGGAAATGTGCGTCCAGTGTAATTCTTCTTAAACACAGCCTTTCCTTTGTCACTCACGCCCTTCTGAGTAAACAAAATACCGCAAAATTGACGACGTGACAACATATCTTATTTCGAGGGATGGCCACCCACTTCTTTTTTTTTGTTTTCCTTTCTCTCGTTCTGTTTGTCTCTGTGTCTTTGTCTGTCTGTTTGTCTGTGTGTGTGATGTGTGTGTGTGTGTGTGTGTGTGTGTGTGTATTTGTGTGTGTGTGTGTGTGTTTGTGTGTGTGTGTGTGTGTGTACTTATGTGTGTGTGTGTGTTGTGTGTGTTTGTGTGTCTTATGTGTGTGTGTGTGTGTGTATTTGTGTGTGTGTGTGTGGTGTGTGTGTTGTGTGTGTGTGTGTGTGTGTGTGTGTGTGTGTGTGTGCACCTGGGTATGTGTGTAAGTGTGCGGCTGTGTATGTATGTGTGTGTATGTGCGTGTGTGTGTCTCTCGCTCATTCGTTCACATTTCCGCTCTCCCTTTTTCTGTCCAGGTCTTTCTCTTTCTTTATCAGTGCTTCTCCGTTCACCTTCCCTTCTTAAACGAAAAAACAAAAACAAAAATAAAACTACTCCTTCTTGAACAGAATGAACGATAGAAATAACGCAGCTGAACATCAAAACACTTACTGGCCACTGAGTTAAAGTCTCTATATTCTAAAGGATCTGGTAGCCTATGAGTTCACAATCTATGAATTAAAAGATATACAATCCTTCGAGTTAAAACAGCTGTTAGTTAAAAGATCGACTACCCTATAACTTAAAATATATGTGATTAAAAGATGTACAGTATGAATGGAGAAAAAAAAATATACGAATGATAAAAGATACGCGAATTAAAAGATCTACTAACCTATGAATCTAAAAATAAAAAAATAAAAATCTATGAGTGAGAGATATCTATTGGCCAAAGAATTTTCAAAATCTATGAATCAAAATATGTACCACCCTTTAAATTCATGTACCAATGAGTTAAAAATCCTACGACGCAATATTTCAATAACCCATGATGAATCAAAAGTATATTTAAAGCTTAAGATATCCGAGATCATGAATTGCAATATCTGTCAATTCAAAGATCATATTCACTTAACGAAGACAGCAGTACCGGATGTGGGGAGTTTGTGACGTCATCGCACGCAAACGCACTCGCAAGAACATATCCTTGGATATTTGTGTCACGGCTGAGTTCTTTAAAATCCTCACTTTTACTTACTCTTACTCACTGCCAATATTTGTGTCAAGTTCTTTAAAATCCTCACTTTTACTTACTTCATATTCACTGAAGAAATATGCCATCTTGGATATTTGTGTCACGGCTGAGTTCTCCTTGCCATCACTCCTGCGACTGAGTTCTGCGCTCGAAGAAATAGTGCGTTCATTTCCCGATGTGAACGACTGCGATTTCTTATGTGATTTTGGGTGGTCTTATCATCAGAATTTCTGTGATGTGAATGACTGCATGTGAGGGCGGGTTCATGTCTGTATGGGCGTGTCTGTGTGTGGGGTGTGTATGTGTCTCTGTCTGTTTGCATGTTACCATGCATATCTATGTACATCTCTCTCT